GGGCCTCCGGTATGTTGTTCACTGGGGTAGCCACCAGTTACTGTAAGGAAACTCACGTCAAAATGACCCTGGTGATAAACCCTATGATGCATATATATATATATATGAGTTGTATGATTTATCAAAGTTTGGTATCCCGTAACTAGGTCTAACGTTAGTTATACATGTAAATACAGTTGTTATTGATAAAAGGAAGGTTTTGTTGGAGATTTCTGACTTGACAGATGATGGTTCGCGATTGGTGATTTGTGAGTTGACAGATTCATTAACAATTTGCTATTTGCGTTTTTATCCAGAAGTCTCGTCTTTGTTTTTTAACTTTCGGGATACACGTATGATGAAGACATGTCGCCCCTCGCTGATATATCTTCAATATTCTACATATCTTTCTAATTTGACTTATCAGAAAAGAAATGGTTACAGCTTTTAGAATTGGTTTTGTTGCAGATAGTTTTGGATAGATCTGGACATTTGTCTCCGTGGTGGAAACCATTTACATATAAATGTTTAATGTATATTTTATGAACAGTTGTCACAGGGGACGAGTTTTAGATCTTAACGTACAACAGAGTCGACAAACACGTCAGTTGCACGCGGGATTTGGCTCTATTCCGTAATATAGGACGGCCTCTGACACTAGGACACATATTGCTACAGATATTTGTATGCATTGGAAATGGGTCGGAGAGAATTACCCAAGGACTAGTATGTCTGCCCTACCGACCTTAAAGCATTATATGTAGATGGCTCTCTTGCTGAAGTAACGATGTTGGAGCATTTTGGGATCCATGGTATCTGGTCTTGAATAAATAATAACTTGAAACAATTTACGACGTATTTACAGAATGACAGTTTACCGGCAACAAATTGTCTGGAATTGTAAGAACTGTCTAGTAAAATGTTCAAGAATTCCCAGAAAAAAACAGTAACAATAGATTGAATGTGATAAGAATACTGTGTTAGAATATTCCTCAGCACACTGTGACCGTTTGATGAATACTTTAGATTGTGTTGAAAAAACTTTTCAGTCCAAGAAAATCAAATTAAAATTCGATGAAACGAGGCTCAAAAAGGATTAACATATCAATTTTAACAAATATTTTATTTTAAAAGAATAGTTATATCTAGATGGCATTTCTTTGTATACAGGCCTGTAACTAAAATATGATTTATGTTTTTTGTAATTTCCGCACGTGCGTGTTCTGTATTCTTAGCTTCGTGATGTTCATTCCAATCCTGGTTACCATGTGTGAAAGAAGGTCTATGTCACCAACAGTTGCAGCACACTTAAAAGGTCTTTTCTTCATAAATGGGTTTAATAGGAAGTTACAGACATTACAAGGATATTGGTTTATTTTCTCAGGCTGGTGACGATACTTGTTTCAATATATTGGATACGGTTGGTTTCGCTGAGAATTCTTGCATACTTTAAGGTACTAGTCCCTGTCTGTAGAATCTGTAATAAGAAATGGGAAAATTTAGAACTTTTTCATATGTCTGATTAACTGTTATAACAAAACATATTCACACAGTGTGGACTGTGTTCTTTGTAACTCTGAATATTCTAGGTATCCCCCTCCAACCCCCAACCCCACCCCCACCCCATCCCCCACCCCCATTCCATTCTACACAGCATAAGCTTTATGTAAAATGTTTTGAATATCACGCACTAAGTTTATAGCTGGTATTCCACTTAAAATTTCTATAAGATATTGATATTTCGAATAAAACCGCGTCGCACGGTTTCGATCAGACCTATAAACGACGAGCTCACAAAACTGAAAATAAAATGAAAATAATGTATGAAAGACAAGACTGGCGTTATTTGTGATCTAGTAATTAATGTCCCTCTGTATATCAGTGTTTAACGATCCACGGTCCAGTTTTAAAGCATATTCAATGGTTATACATACAGATTATAAGAAATTTTCCATAACAATTGGACGAACAATGGATATTGTATTTAAATATTATTTATTGAAATAAAACGGCATAAAATATCATCATTTATGAATACATTTTTATCAACACTGGCTGTGTCAACAATAAAATACCAGTATTTCTGGTTAATTTGCATAAGTTTGAACAAAACATACAATTTGTAGTGTTATGCTTAATTGGTCATAACGACTTTAGATATCACTCCGCAGAACAAACCGATGACTAATCTATTTATAAAAAAAAAACATCACGTGTCTCTGAGTTTTATTATGATACCTGTTTTATTTCCTCTTAATGAAAGAAAATTCATAATAGTAAGTGTTTATATGATACGGCTGATATACATGTTAATTTTATAGTCAGATGAGAACAGGGCCGTATCCAACGGGGTATGATAATCGGAGAGGTTATATATTTACAAAAGAAGGACTTTCAGTTTTATTGAAAGGGTGGATTTAAATTTCTTAATAAAGCATTTAAAAAAAATAAATAAAAAATCATACCTATTCTAAGAATTTATCAACATGATTAAAAAATTTAACATATCAATACTTGAGGTATCCAAAGTTTTAAATTGTTAAAATAGGGTATGTTAAAACTCGAAACTCGAGATTTCCTTTATTTTAACTAGAAACTCGAGATTTCTTTTTTAAAACTGGAATCTGGAGAGTTATTATGTATGAGAGCTTTGGGATGTAACATACACGACAGTTTATATGCCCCGTCTGGAGCCCCGATAACATGTTGATGAGGACCTGAATAGCCATTAAATTTGTATAATAACAAAGTAATTAATCATCACGACTTTCTAACATACGAAGCCGTCGCCGGACCGGAATGGTTGAGAGCGTCCAAATGGGAATATTTTAATGGACATATAATGATATAAAATGACATTTTACATAGAATGTTTTGATTGATAAACGAGAGAATTTGACCCTCAGTTATAAACAATTTTCTTTATATACTTATATATCTCTAATGATTAATGACGTATACTGTTAATAGGTTTTGTATATCTATTTTTAGTAACGAACACTAGCGATGCACGAGCTTATCACAACTGTAATAGCTATCTGCCTAGATTAATTGGAGTACAAAAGCTTAACATAAGAGGTACATTTAATTCTGACTGAAAAATAAATCACACCTATTGAATATATAAGATTTCGTATACTCAACCGCCTGGGAAATGGTGTATTCATTCTTTTCATTAGAACTGTGCGAAAATAAGATCCCGCTTAAAATATTTAAGATACTTCAAGGTAATCAGTATGCTAAATAATATATAGAATAAAAAAATTATCATAGATTTCGATTATATAAAGAAAGACTGCCCTGTGTATCCTTCTCTCGCTGTTGGCTGATCGGATCTGTATTTGGTAAAGAAGAAATTCGGCAAGATAACCCCAACTGTGAAGGACATATAATTATTTTACCGACATATTTTTTTTTTACTTTTTATTTGTACAAACTGTAATATCAATGACTTTCCATACCCATTTTTTTTCAAAGAACGACTCACTGACATTTTAATATTTAGCATAACAACCCTTGGTGTTAGAAAAGACCGATGTAGACAGACAGGTCTGGACGCTTCGGTATTTACACAGGATTGTGATTAATGTCATACAGGAAAGTCCTAAATGGTTAAAAAAAATGTGACAATTATTTGCTCGTTACAAATGTTTCTTTAGATCATCAATCTTACTTCTTAGGTACACGTATATCTTATTTAATTATCTCTGGTACTTTTTGTCGTTACGGAACGTTTTACCTGACACACCTGTGTGAGCTCACGTTCCAGAAGACTTTGTGTAACATCTTGTTGTCAGATATGTTCGCTACACAAACGTCAATTTTGTTCAATTAAGTTTTAAATATTTAACATTATCAAACTACTCTAAAAAGAAAATAAAACACAGGTGTAATAGGAATTCCAAAAATTCAACAATGGCGGCCGAATATTGGGGAAATTTCAAACAAATTTTTCACGAAAGTTTCATTCGGTAATCTATACAGATTTTCACTAGTGTTTTATATAAAATATTGAATCAGGCTTAAAAGTGTTGAAGTTTAAAGTATTAGAAGTCGTGACCTCTCAGCTATATTGTGTCGGAATATTTAAATACTCTTTATAAATTTTGTGTTTTGTTTAAGTTTTAGTTAGATTTCGAGATCAGGGTATCAGTAGTTTTATTATAGTTCGAAAGTATCTACAACATAGTTACCATTAATCACACGTATAGACGTCACATCCACGGTGCCTTCCTCCCAACTCCCCTCCCCCGACACATCCCGGAATATTTCACGAGTAAAAGATGTTCCTTAATAGATATACATGCATTTTTTTAAAACAAATATCTGTGCATGAGTAGTATATTTATCAGTATTTGTAGAAGTATTTCTGTGACATTAAGCTGACAGTTCCACTCGAACTACGGGTCTTTAAGTCTCTGCGGTGACGAACTATTATAGATCTAATGTGTTTGTGAGTTATTTACCTAAGTAATTTGAAGCGCCTAGTATCTACGCTGTATATCTTTTGACATAGCTCTTCTTTTCTTTCCTCAGGTACGTGTCTACGGCCTCGCCTTACAATTAACATCGACAGACCGACATTAAGGAGCAGTGTGTGGAATCTCCGAGACGATAAATTTAGTGCATACGAGGACAGAACGGTTTTTGTATCAGTTCTCTACTCAGGGAATTTGGGTTTCGTATTGTGGGTAAACCATGTGACAAGGAGGTGTGTGTTTCTCTACTCAGCGACACATTTAGGAGATAAACTTACCCGGGTCTGAGTATTGCTTCAGAGATCCACTTCACAGTGAATGGAGAAAACAACACCATACTCTATAATTAGGTGACCATATGAAAGGTCGGATGTCCATCATTTCGTCACGCTTCACTGGACACGACACGCAGGGTCCTTACAACTATTTTATCTACCAGAAAATTCATATTTCGTAGATCAAAGAAAAGTTTAAAAGGACAGTGACTGCTCCAGTGAATATTTGTGTTAAATAGGAGTAACGTTTTGTTATATCTGAATCAACATGGCGGCAGCCTATTTGGGACTTGCTGTTTTATCGTGTTGGGGAGTTTTGACTGTCATGTCCGCTGATACCAGCTGTGTGTCTAAGGGTCAGTTATATACGAAGCTACCCTGGTACGGCTATCTCGTTCAGAAGACATTTCACCCCAACGACGCTAAAATAGAGTATCAGATTTCTTATCCTGTAAGTGAGGGCAGTGCTAATCTACTGATCTACTATGACGACCAGGTACGAAAACTCAAGGACGAAATGTCATGTAAGGAACGAGAAAATATTCTGCCCGCCAAAAATAACCAAGTGATTCCATTAAACGAGACAGGAAGGTGTACAGTATGGCGAGATAGTGGTGAACCTCTTTATGTGTGTGTCGGCGAACGTGTGTTCAATTCAAGCTTTCCAAGGACCTGGTACTTTGCTGTGAGCAAGTGTTCTATGAATGGTTCTCAGTCTTTGAATATGAACTATTATTTCAATGTAACAGGATATTATGGTGCATGTGAAGTTGATCCGTTGTCTAAAACAGTAATTCCTGCACGCGTTGAGGTTGAACCGGATGTCAGTGTCATTGTGGCGCTTGGAGTGGTATGTGGTGTGACTTCAATAACTGCAATAGTTTTCATGATATTGTTTTTTCTTGGTCGAAGACGACGCAAGAGCAAGAAAGGCGGATCTGTGACGTCATCACAGGCTACTATGACGCAGGACATTTTTTACGTGAATCCTTCCTTATCGGATCGTGAACATTCTGACTCACAATACAGCCACAGTCAGTCAAGCGGATCGGAAAACTATTACGAGGTCATCCCGGACCGTCGGAGTTACGAAAGTATTAACACACAGCTTGCGCTACAAGGGCACGCCATTCGTGGACTGAATTTAAACGCGGCACACCTGAAGGAGCAGAGAAACTCTAACATTCCCGCATATATCCTAGAAGATTATCCGCCCCCGCCCTACCAGCCTCCAAGAGGGCTTCATAACATCCACGCCACCATGCCAAGCGGCCTGCATCACAGGCAATCAAGTGCAAACGCCATTCTCCAAGGCGGGATTAGTCACTATGCGTCACGCGCGGGAACACTTTCTGCCCCTAACAGTCATATGGCCGGAGGACGGCCATCCATTCACCAGCTTGCCGCAAGCGGCATGCATCCGATGTATCGACAAAATCGGCCAGCCCAGACAACTCAAACCGAGGCTGATGTAGATACACACACTGGACCGAAGCAGGTGGTCAACGCGGGGGGTAACAGAATGAATGGTACCCCTGTTCACTCTGACATTATTCAACAAGCTCTGAACAGGCAGCCGCTGGTTCATGCCACGAGCCAGGCAAGTCCTGTACAGAGTTCACCCCAATCGCGCACAAGTGAAGTTCCTATGACGTCAGACAGTGGCACTCAGCCGATGACGTCATTCCCGAATGTAGTGCCATCCTCAAGCACTCAAACAACACCGATACAAAATTCAAACTTTGTCAGGCAGTTGACAAACAGTGGCGCAAAATCGAGCCAGCAAAACATTCAACTCCAAACTTACGGACAATCTAAGCACCAGTCACAAGGAAGTGGAAGTGGTAATGTTAACATTCCGAACGGAGGACGAGCACCACAATATCCGAACAGTAATGTTGCTAAGTTACTGCACGATGCTTATCGGATTCAGCAATTTGAAACAACGGCATAATAGGTGGTTAAGTAGATGACGTCTTCAAATATTTTACGTCATAGTTTTTAAAAAACGCGTTTGACGTTCAAGCTCAAAGTATGAAATTCTTAGAGAGATATGAAACCTTTCGTCTCAACGTGTAATTGCACCACGGATGTTACGTTCTGTCTCCATACCGAAAGACTGCGCATGCGTCCTATCCAAGCTGGTAACGACATATATGGCATCACATCACCTAGCGGGTTATAAATGTCCGGACAAGAATCAATACTTCGTTTTTAAAGTGGTGGTTACCTAGTTTTAAATGTTGAGATTGTGCAGCAGGGTATCTCCACAGGTACATGGTTCAGGTAACGTGATACTTGGCGAGGAGGAAAATAAATTAACTTTTAAAATAGGTTTTCCAAGGAAGCCATCACGGTTACCGTGGTCTGATATTAAATCTGTGACTACAACAAACACATTATGTGCAATCATTTTAGCTTAGTTACGTCTAATAGAATTCTTATTGACTATTCACTGCGGGACTGCAATTCAAAATGTCGGGCCCTCGTGCAGTGTCAGTAACTTATGGCAATATCATATTGTATAAGTAATTGTTACGAGGGTATCTAGACGCCCCTACTTTAATTAACCAGAGTCGTGACGTCATCGTATTGTGTGTGTCTGTGTTTGTGACCAGAGAATTCTGTGGAGTGAAAGGCGACAGTATTACTGGCCAAAAGTATGAAAGGGTTGTTTCGTGTTTTAAAAAAACCTTTCAAACGCATCACAATTAGATTTAGGTTATATTTTGTTAAGTTCGAAAGTCTCACCTCGTTTCTATGGTAACAGAAATTGCTGTTTTTTCCATTTATTTATGTTTCTTATCCTACATCATTGTGATTAAACATATCACAGCCGTTTAAGATAAGATTGAAAATTAAAATGTTATTATTTGCTCTATATCTTACCGACATGTTGACAATTTCGATGTCGATCTAAAACAGTTTTAGAGGTATATGGAAAACAAAAACATCACGAATCAATACAGAGGGTTCGTTTTAAGTTCTTTCCGTGGAAACCCAAACCGGCAAAATTTGGCAATTTACAAAGTGATACCATCAATGCTTCGAAAGAAAATAAAGCACACTATACGAAATCTGATTGGCTACATAAGATAGATATGTGATACGTTGTTTGTGAAGGTAAAACCTTATTTGATGTATGACTATAAAACGTGAGACGCCGGATAGTCACCTCTGAGTTTGCTGGCAGTACGCTTAGTAAATGTCTATATCGAGTTCCATTTCTTTTTCAGTAAAAAATCAATTTAGTTACATTCTTTTCGACGTGTATTACAAAAGCTTTCACAATATTCGATCAAATTTTCCCGAGTTGGCAAAAGATCCCACCATAAACGTGTGTAGTTTACATACGGGAATTAGTGGTGGAACAGACAAGATACAGTACTGTTGTCATGGAAACTGTTTTAAGATATTGTAGAACTTAAGATAGATGGGGTTTTTCGATATAAGTGTGAAGACAGCAAAATGAAACATCAAAAGTCGATATTTAATATAAAATCATTCCAGGTCTGTACTAGGAGTTTTTTTTTATTTACTATTCATGCACGTACATTACCTGTCACAGGTTACTGGTGTACAAATCTTTGTTTCACGTTCGAAGTGTTAAAATGTATTGATAATAATAAACTTTTAACAATTCTAATTAACATTAAACGCGTTTAACATTTTCATGGTTATTTTGTCTTTATTAAATTTATGAATTGTGAGGAGCGAATGTCCGGGTATAAAAATCGAACCTACCGAGTCGTGTAAGTGTTTGTATTTTTCAATGTCTCTACATTCAAACTATTTAAAACAATAGATAATAAAATGGTTTATAACTTAGTCACGGTGTGTAGTATAACGTTATAATTATGTAAAGTTAATTATCTTGTGCTAATATATTGGAAGCTGTTATAGTGACGTGAACTACCATACAAAACTGGTTCAGTATTTGTTGTAAATGTCACGTAATATCACACTTCATAGGAATTGCTTCCTGAATTTTGCAAATATTTTGTATAAGTTAATGTATGTGTTACTGTGTGGAGATGTACATTACTGTGTGGAGATGTACATTACTGTGCGGAGATGTACATTACTGTGTGGAGATGTACATTACTGTGCGGAGATGTACATTACTGTGCGGAGATGTACATTACTGTGTGGTGATGTACATTACTGTGTGGAGGTGTACATTACTGTGTGGAGGTGTACATTACTGTGTGAAGGTGTACATTTCTGTGTGGAGATGTACATTACTGTGTGGAGATGTACATTACTGTGCGGAGATGTACATTACTGTGTGGAGATGTACATTACTGTGTGGAGGTGTACATTACTGTGTGGAGATGTACATTACTGTGCGGAGATGTACATTACTGTGCGGAGATGTACATTACTGTGTGGAGGTGTACATTACTGTGCGGAGGTGTACATTACTGTGCGGAGATGTACATTTCTGTGTGAAGGTGTACATTACTGTGTGGAGGTGTACATTACTGTGTTGAGGTGTACATTACTGTGTGGAGATGTACATTACTGTGTGAAGATGTACATTACTGTGTGGAGATGTACATTACTGTGTGGAGATGTACATTACTGTGCGGAGGTGTACATTACTGTGTGGAGATGTACATTACTGTGTGAAGGTGTACATTACTGTGTGGAGATGTACATCACTGTGTGGAGATGTACATTACTGTGTGAAGGTGTACATTACTGTGCGGACGTGTAAAGTTTATTATATTGTTGTTTTGTTGTTGATATTTGTCAGATAAATAGTTATTGAATAATTGTAAGTAAATGTATCTTGATCATGTGACATTCAGTTATATAACATATTCATCAGGACATATACTTGGTCCGTTCTCTGTAGTGGAAATACTCGTGTTTACCCAATAACAACGGTTTGATTATAATTTAGACACAAAGTGCTGAATTTGATAAACATATTTTGGATATAAGTTGTGATTTATGTAAGCACGTGATATTTGTTTGATATTAATTCATAAGTTGTAATAATTTGTGCCAAACCATTTGTACCGATAGACAATAAATTATACTTAATTCACAACTTATGAATGTTAATACACATAGATATAGTAATAAGGCTATCTGTGACAGGGTAACATTTCGTTTCTGAAGACCACAGTGGTAAGTCTCCATGAAATCAAAATTATACAAATTTATGAGGTTATGAACTCCCTCTTTGTGTTTTATACAGAAAATGGACCAGTCCGTGTATTTCTGACATTTCTGGCTAAATATAAATCTCGCGAGATAATCCGAGATCTCCCACATCATTGCCAACATTCTTGCAATTATTGCAGAAGTAATATGTAACATTAAAGTGTAGAAACATAAGACTACATCACGTGTTTGTTGTTTCTTCTAGCGAATACGTTCGGAGGAGTATGTCAACTGCCGAGTATTTTCGGAATAACCTCTAAATCAGCGCCCATGGTCGTAAACACCTTAATATTAACGTCCTGACCCCACTTGTATAAAACATCTCAACTTGAGATTTCCTCAAGTCGAGATTTTCCTCCGCTGATATCTCCTCAAAAACGGCTTGTATAAGATTTTCTCAAGGAACAGGAGAAAGGCATCGGCTAGGATGTCCTGAAATTCCTTGCGGAAAGATATTTTCAAGGAGATATTAGCTGCGGAAAATCTGGGCTTGAGGAAATCTGAAATTGAGATGTTTTATACAAGTGGGGTCTGATGTGACGTTTACTTGTGGAGATAAACGTCATATATTTCCGAGGATGGATGTGGGTGACATAATTCAGGAAAGAAAACCCACTACGAAAACACAATATTTAACTTTGATGGAAATTGGGCTGTGTTTAGGAATTAAGGGGTCAATTTTGTTCACGTTTGTTTTGTGGTTGTATCGATCGCCCCGCCAAACAGGGCCATTTGATGGCACGACTTCCTTGTAGCTGATGGTCACTTCCTAACTGAACAACATACAAGAAACCCGTCCCGTGCCATCTAGTAAGTTGTATTAAAGTGTCTACCCAAAGACAGCACGTTATCCGCAATCTCTACCACAGTTGTCGTTCCTTACCAGTCACAATACACCTCTGTTAACAGCTCACGGGCTGACAATATTTGACCTCGCGGTCAGGGTCAAAGTGTGACCTCGTGCAAAACAATGGCGGCACCCCTGATAACGTTTATGAAGGACACATCTGTAGACTGTATGTCATCGATCAGCCTAAAAACATAATTCGCGCTTTTTGGGATGTTATGTGTCAAAAGTATCGACAAATTACCATCAGTTATCACTGATATCACAATATACGTACATGTATCGCGAGAACACGTCGGTAATTGAAAAGTGAAATTACAAAATGAAACACGACGGTTGGTAACTGTTTACTCCAAGTTCATCTTCCGCGGAATAATCCGGCATTACGTTTATAACAAACATCTTCAAAAATGCTTCAAAACACAACTCCTTAATGCTATGGTAGAATTCAACGAGATTGGTGTGAAACATTGTTGCAAGTGGGCTATTATTTCTTAAAGTCAGAGAGTTGATTTGATTCCAAGGGATTTGTGGATGGGCCCCAATAGGGTAGTTAGACTTTGCTACTTTACTTCAAAATGCTACTCTTCAGAATGTTGATATGGCCCCCAGGGACTTAGGGTTAGGGTTCCAAATGGGGAAGTTAGTCAATTTTTTTGCTTCAAAATGCTCTTCCTTAATACTTAAATGAATTTCAACCAAATTTCATCTGAAATATCATCGTGGGAATTTATTGAATTTGTCTGACCAATATCTAGTCTGTCCATCTATTCAATAATTTTGCTTAAAAACGTTATTTCTTCTTAATGCCTGGATAGATTTCAACCGAATGTGATTTGAAACATTTTTGCTGGTGTGTTATCATATCTTAAATTCAGAATGTTGATTCGACCCATAGCGACCCGGGCCTCAAATGGGAAAGTTAGTTTATGATTTTGGTTCAAAGTGCTATTCTTCCTTGATGCTTAAACGGATTTATATAAAATTTGGTCCGAATTATCGTCGTGGAAATTCATAAGATTTGTCAGAATAAGATCTGCAAGTTCCGTCCATCCATTCATTGACTGTCAGCTGACCGTGAAGGGCCACGGTGCTCTTGTTCTTTTACAACATGTGTAAATCAAGCTTTCGGCTTGTATCAGGTACTCTTAATTCTGTCTGGCCCAGATGGATGTGGGAGACAGGTCTTTTTTATCATTTGTTTTATTTTTCACATGTATTTCAAATATATAAATACTAAAGACATCAAACAACATAAATGAACATCCTTAAACACTCCACATCATCACCCTTGTATTCTGATCACCACTGAAGCACAATTTAACATTCATCATATACTCATACAATCGTCATTTCATACTTATACAATTACTATACAATCCTTCACGCATATATAATTGTTGCACAAACATTATCTTCACTGCTCTACAATTGTTACACTCCTAAAACATATCATCACCATATAATCATTTTCATGTAACTTTTAGATAATATAAGATTCATTCTTTACAAATAACATATATATAACTTGATTCTTTTCCATTAACATTTAACACACACACACACACACACCCACACACACACACACACACACACACACACACACACACACACACACACACACACACACACACACACACACACACACACACACACACACACACACACCCTCACACACACACACACACGCACACACACACACACGCACGCACACACGCACCCACGCACGCACGCACGCACGCACGCACATACACACATGCACCCCCCCCTTACACACACATCCATATGCATGACCATGACCACAAATCAACACAAAGGGAGACAGGTCTTACTATGGGAAGAAACTTTCGTACCCAGAGAAAACCTACGTGATTGGATGGTTACTCAGTACCTTTGAGGGTCCAATCAGGAGTCGAACCGAAGAGTTTGATACCCTGACAGGCTTAATCTATTCACACACGTTCTTTTCCCGATGTGTTAAACGTAACATTTATCTCATCGTTTGTGCACTTTTTAAAAATCAATTTGTCACGTGATCTATAAATCATGATTTGAATCTGGAATCTTTGTGATTTATTGTTAACTTACAGGGAAGTGTCTTTTGAACTTGATAATATTAAACATAGATTAAATTTAATGAGACATACATATCGATTTAATTGAGGAGGAATGAGAAGCTCGGTTTTTAAAACGACTGACATTTTGGTTATAATTATGATACAGGGAAATAGAATAAAAGTAAAATAATGTATTTAAAATCAAATAAAAAGAACCGATTATTCATTTGGGAGATTTATTTTTATCGCTTCGTCAGAATTTTAGGTTCACTTGACGTACCATTTGCATGTTTGAGTAATACAATGCCGAAAGCGAAGTCGGACCCGTCGTTATAATAATAGTTAATATATTTACGTAGTCCCCCGAGCTTCCATTTTGTGACTATATCATGGTTTGCCGTCAGGATCATAATGGCATTTAGATATAAAGATAATCCCCCGAGCACGTAGGAAAACAAAAGTGTAGTTGTACGTAGTTAGGACAAAGTCTCGCGAGATCTCCTTAAATTTCGATTCTAATAACAGACCTATGTCCGGACAAGCGATTCCGGATGTTTATGTTTCTCTCAGGAGGTAGACATATTTGTCTCGTGTAATTATTTTCTATCCAGTGATGTCCGCACGTGCTTCGGGCATACTACAGAACTATCCAATCAAATTATATTTGATCACGTGCGAGTTGACGCACTGGTTATTGCACGTGCTCCATGCAGTCGGCCGCCCAATCCAATCACATTATTCTTCTTCACGTATGAGATCCCAAGACGTGACCAGAACGTGATTCGTAAAATCTTCCTCCATTAAAGAAACCTATGGCGCTTATTATTTACAATAATGGCCCTCGAACAAGCACGCTGATGAATCAGAATCGACAGTACAGTGAACTGTGGTCAAGGGAGATGGACAATATTGAAGTGACCACTCTATTAGAGATGTCCAGCTGTGATAAAAGCCTGCATGATGTCGATATGGCCCCTGGACTAGGCCAGAGTAGTCATTGGCCTTTATCAGCTTCGTCAAGGAAGCTCGTGAGAGGGAGGTATAACTATAGTAGAAAATGCATTAAAACGTCTTACTGACGCCGATACAAACGATTTCCTCTCCTCCAAATTTCGATGTACTATCAACTTCATACGCACATTGTAAATTTAAATGAATGAATTGTAATAAACAAATGTTAAAGAGATCGGTGTTGACCAGTTCTTATAAAATCCTATAAAAAGTCCCGGTGGATCTATGTTGTGCATTTTATATCCAATGCTTTTTCACAAATACATTTCACTTCACTGAAACTCAACACGATATGATGAGTCTAAACCGTTGTCGTTTATTTAACATTTGACCCCCATGACCTTGACTTACGGTGAATCTAAGCACAAGTGGAAGCCTATCCAATACACTCTACAATACTATGTATTCTACAGAATAAAATGCGACATATTTTTATTTGAATGTGTTGATTTCTTGATTTCTTTTAAAGAACTTTCTTCTTTCAATGTGTTTCAGCTGCATAGTAACTTCTGTAATGTTTTTTCACACCACAGAGTTGTCTCCCGTTGATTACGGAACACAAAACAAAGGAAAATAAAGTTAAATACTCTGCTCTGTTGATAATAGGTTTAAAATATTCATGATTATTAAAATATTTCCGTTTAAATCACATGTTTATTAACAAACATTAGATCACAATGACTCTCTAAAAAAACAATCGAACTACCAACAAAAAGTAATACATGAAAAGAAATTCAGTGTTTTAATAAAAACACAGAAACACCAAAATGACCAATTGATCTCAATTATGCATGGTCTTAAATAGCTGAAGTAAGTGATAAAAATTCTCACTTTCAAAAGCGAACCTGGGAAAAGGACCTATTTCTAGCTTCTGCGATAATCATGATATCAGGCCCCGTGTCCAGTGTCTGTGATAACCATGACATCAGGTCCCGTGTCTGTGATAACCATGACATCAGGTCCCGTGTCTGTGATAACCATGATTACAGGTTCCGTGTCTGTGATAATCATGATATCAGGTCCCGTGTCTGTGATAACCATGATGTCAGGTCCCGTGTCTGTGATAACCATGATATCAGGTCCCGTGTCTGTTATAACCATGATGTCAGGTCCCGTGTCTGTGATAACCATGATATCAGGTCCCGTGTCTGTGATAACCATGATATCAGGTCCCGTGTCTGTGATAACCATGATATCAGGTCCCGTGTCTGTGATAAGCATGATATCAGGTCCCGTGTCTGTGATAATCATGATGTCAGGTCCCGTGTCTGTGATAACCATGATGTCAGGTCTCGTGTCTGTGATAAGCAGGATATCAGGTCCCGTGTCTGTGATAACCATGATGTCAGGTCTCGTGTCTGTGATAAGCAGGATATCAGGTCCCGTGTCTGTGATAATCATGATGTCAGGTCCCGTGTCTGTGATAATCATGATGTCAGGTCCCGTGTCTGTGATAATCATGATGTCAGGTCCAGAGTCTGTGATAACCATGATGTCAGGTCCCATGTCTGTGATCAGCAGGATATCAGGTCCCGTGTCTGTGATAACCATGATATCAGGTCCCGTGTCTGTGATAACCATGATATCAGGTCCCGTGTCTGTGATAACCATGATATCAGGTCCCGTGTCTGTGATAACCATGATATCAGGTCCCGTGTCTGTGATAACCATGATATCAGGTCCCGTGTCTCTGTTAACCATGACATCAGGTCCCGTGTCTGTGATAACCATGATATCAGGTCCCGTGTCCCGTGTCTGTGATAACCATGATATCAGGTCCCGTGTCTCTGATAACCATGATATCAGGTCTCCTGTCTCTGATAACCATGATATCAGGTCCCGTGTCTGTGATAACCATGATGTCAGGTCCCGTGTCTGTGATAACCATGATATCAGGTCCCGTGTCTGTGATAACCATGATGTCAGGTCCCGTGTCTGTGATAACCATGATATCAGGTCCCGTGTCTGTGATAACCATGATGTCAGGTCCCGTGTCTGTGATAACCATGATATCAGGTCCCGTGTCTGTGATAACCATGATATCAGGTCCCGTGTCTGTGATAACCATGATATCAGGTCCCGTGTCTGTGTTAACCATGACATCAGGTCCCCTGTCTGTGATAACCATGATATCAGGTCCCGTGTCTGTGATAACCACGATATCAGGTCCCGTGTCTGTGATAACCATGATATCAGATCCCGTGTCTCTGTTAACCATGACATCAGGTCCCGTGTCTGTGATAACCATGATATCAGGTCCCGTGTCCCGTGTCTGTGATAACCATGATATCAGGTCCCGTGTCTGTGATAACCATGATATCAGGTCCCGTGTCTGTGATAACCATGACATCAGGTCCCGTGTCTGTGTTAACCATGACATCAGGTCCCGTGTCTGTGATAACCATGATATCAGGTCCCCTGTCTGTGATAACCATGATATCAGGTCCCGTGTCTGTGATAACCACGATATCAGGTCCCGTGTCTGTGATAACCATGATATCAGATCCCGTGTCTCTGTTAACCATGACATCAGGTCCCGTGTCTCTGATAACTATGATGTCAGGTCCCGTGTCTCTGATAACCATGATATCAGGTCCCTTGTCTGTGATAACTATGATGTCAGGTCCCGTGTCCCGTGTCTGTGATAACCATGATATCAGGTCCCGTGTCTGTGATAACCATGATATCAGGTCCCGTGTCTGTGATAACTATGATATCAGGTCCCGTGTCCAGTCTCTGTGATAACCATGATATCAGGTCCCGTTTCCAGTATAACGCGCTTACTCTTCCGGAACAAGTGGTCTCTCAGGAGTCTCCATGTAAATCTTTCTTCCCTAGTTTGATTGAATTCGAGTTTGGATGATGATTTTGTTGACATGAGAGATCACTATGCACACTTACTAACCAATCAGAAGTAACGAAACAAACAGTGACGTCATTTTCAGTATCAATTGATGACGACTAAATATTAGGCGTAGATATAAAGGACGGATGGACCGACCCTTTTGCTTTTTTCAAGAATAAATCCATATTTCGTTTGTGTATTGATTAGTAGTGTTAAGCAACCCTTAATCATCTAGTACCATTTACTGGCAGCAGTATTTCTTAACTCTCACTGAACATTAAGCGGGAGACCCGCCGCACGTTGTCCAGAATAATTTGGGTAAAGCGACATGACGAAGGCAGTAGAGGACGATCTGTTATACAATACAGTCTCACTAGATACGGATATCACTCCGAGTTTGGATAGAACTACCCTAGTGTTATCTTCCTCTGATGTGAGACAAGCGATACAGCGATCAACTAAGCCCTACACTCAAACACTGGCATTCAACGATTGTATGATAAATTACAGATCCTTATTAAATTAACCGACATCGCCGTATCAACATCAGCATCACACACTTTATTAAGATGACAAAGAAAAAGACGAGGTATTTGTGATAAAAATTTGCAATAAAATGTTACCGTAAGTTTTTTGTAGACAGATAAACACGGCACACGAATCGAAGCCATTACAACCAAGTCAAACTATCAATTTGTAATAATGCAGAACAAATGAAATCGCCCACGAGTTGATGGTATCCGTTGTTCTCTCTCGCGAGATTTTGACAACACCATCTGTAATACGTTATCGTCACAAAGGGGAGATAAAAATTGACATATAAATTCAAGCATTTAAATTTTATTCCTACAACAATTAATTCTGTGTGTAATTAGGTTTTATCTAACAGTGTAGACACGAGTTATCTCCCCTGGACGAGAAATTAATGGTTAAAAAGCCTTACTTTATCACAGCCATCACTACATCATAACAACATTAATTCACTTGTGATCGATCATGAATTTAAGAGAAAGAATGCTACAGCGACAGTTTGTAGTAATACGACAACACGGACGTGACACGTACCTCCACCAAGACGATAATAATTGCAAAAATAGAATTCCGAAGAAGAAGAAATAGAATTCCGAAGAAGAAGAAGAAGAAGAAGAAGAAGAAGAAGAAGAAGAAGATGAAGAAGAAGAAGAAGAAGAAGAAGAAGAAGAAGAAGAAGAAGAAGAAGAAGAAGAAGAAGAAGATGAAGAAGAAGAAGAAGATGATGAAGAAGAAGAAGAAGAAGAAGAAGAAGAAGAAGAAGATGATGGAGGAGGTGGAGGAGGTGGAGGAGAAGAAGAATGAGAAGAAGAAGAAGAAGAAGAAAGAAGAAGAAGAAGAAGAAGAAGAAGAAGAAGAAGAAGAAGCAGAAGAAGAAGAAGAAGAAGAAGAAAGAAGAAGATGATGATGATGAAGAAGAAGAAGAAGAAGAAGAAGAAGAAGAAGAAGAAGAAGAAGAAGAAGAAGAAGAAGAAGAAGAAGAAGAAGAAGAAGAAGAAGAAGAAGAAGAAGAAGATGAAGAAGAAGAAGATGAGGAGGAGGAGGAGGAGGATGAAGAAGAAGAAGAAGAAGAAGAAGAAGAAGAAGAAGAAGAAGAAGAAGAAGAAATGAAGAAGAAGAAGAAGAAGAAGAAGAAGAAGAAGAAGGAGAAGGAGAAGGAGAAGAAGGAGAATGAAGAAGAAGACGAAGGAGAATGAAGAAGAAGAAGGAGAAGAAGAAGAAGGAAAAGAAGAAGAAGAAAAAAAAGAGAAGAAGAAGAAGAAGAAGAAGAAGAAGAAGAAGAAGAAGAAGAAGAAGAAGAAGAAGAAGAAGAAGAAGATGAAGAAGAAGAAGAAGAAGAAGATGATGAAGAAGAAGAAGAAGAAGAAGAAGAAGAAGAAGAAGAAGAAGAAGAAGAAGAAGAAGAAGAAGAAGAAGAAGAAGAAGAAGAAGATGATGATGATGATGATGAAGAAGAAGAAGTAGAAAAAGAAGAAATAGAAATATATAGTGAGTCTTGGTCTGATGGTCACTATACACCTTCCAACACTGCAAACAAATCCGAATGCCAAGAGTTTCATGACAGCAAAGTACACGTGTGAGGGGCCGTGGTAGCCCAGGTGGTAAGAGCGGTGTCCTACGTAAACTTCATCCCAGTGTGCGACATACTTCATCCCAGTGTGCGACATACTTAACCTCAGTGTGCGACATACTTAACCTCAGTGTGCGACATACTTCATTCCAGTGTGCAACATACTTCACCCCAGTGCTCTAGATGGTTTGTGACAATGATGTATTAACCAATTACTTGAAAGAAATCCTGCTTCAGTATGATATAGTCAGTTAACGGCGCGGTATATTCAACAAACAGGCCAATGTCTGGATGAAGCCGCGGCTGGGATTCCATAAATTCTCCAAAAATGGATTTGTAAGGAATGTGTTATGACCTCGGTAGCTTTTAACAGTGAGAGTTGTTACAGCCAAAACAATCGGCTTTCTTCCTTCACGGTGTCCCTCGGGTCCAGATTGTTACAAATCTATCGCCGCTAAAACAATGAAATCTTTAGAATTATCTCACTTTTTGTGGAAAGTATTCCAAATGATTTATGACATAAAAATGACAAATTAGTATTTGCAATCACAGGAGGAAAAAAGTGACAGATTTTTGTGATATTGAGATTAGCACCGTATCGTAAATAAATTAGAGGGGATGTCTGAGGCAGATAATGTCAGCCTCTGATCTGATTGGACGCGTCTCGGCTCATCACGTGCCGGTATCTAGGTAACACTCAGCCATTATCGGACTAGGTTTGTCTGGAGTTAGAACTCTTACAACTGTCGTCGTTTGTCTAGAACTACAGACCTGACGCCCATTGTTGTTTTTGTAGACATTGCTACGTCGGTTAAAACTTTGAAAATGATATAAAGTCAAAACAATATTAAGTAAATCCACGACCTTGGAAGTTTAATTTAATGTCAAACAAAAGTTGTCAACTCAACAGAAACGCTTGTTAAAAAAACTTGTTTTTCAGTGAAAATGGTCATACAGATGGACTTCTTCAGATGTCGGGACCAATTAAATACCAAAGAAAGTGTCATCAGAGATATACTGACAACGAACCGGTCGGAAACTCAAACTATTGGCGAGAGTATCGGGAAGAGCTATAGGTAGCGGAACAGTTTGTATATATATTACGTTCATAACGGAAAGGGGATAGAAAAATTACCTTCGAAATGACTGAAATATCTACCTTAAATTCGGAAGACTTGTAATGATACCATCCTATCATTTGTTATTATATTCATGTTGTAGGCATCCACTCATTAGAATATGTCTTCCTCCCATTGGTAGATCCGGTCACGTGGGAGAAGACGAGAAAGACGCAGCCGTATTTGGATTGGGTAACCAACCTCTGTGACAGCTGTGGTAACTGTAATACGAGTTCAGTGTTAATTTACCAGTGGTTAAATATATATTTATATTTGATTATAAATGTTGAATTAAAATATTTATCTATTACACATTTAGATAAAGTTTTAGGTGAGTTTTTTTTTCGTCGCTCTGAAATGTCGTGTATGTGTCATTCTGACTTGCTGGTTGACAACAGTTTAGAGACAAAACAGGGACAATAGATGCACCCCTATAAATCACGGTGTGAAGTATAGGTCTCTGAAGGCCGCTGAGAGCATTGTAGATATCCCGCTGTTGTCGGTAATTGGGGGTTGTAAGGGTAGTGGGGAGGTCACAGGTATAGTGAGTGACGTGGTATCAGCGACTGGGATACATACTGTGAATACATCTTTTAAACTGAAAATGTCTTTGTTTTATTTAAGGTAATAAGATGATGATAATGATGAAGTTTTACCGCCATTCTCACGGGTTATACTCGGTAGGTGGCGCAGTAGTAGCGCATTCTCATTTGCGTTTCACCTAAGGGACTTCAGGGATCAATTCCTTATTCGGATGTACTACGGTGTGACCCTCGGAGTTCCCGATTTCCGTCCATACCTAAACTCCTGGAGCGTTTCGTCCCGGCCATCATGAAGGATGATTAAAATCTTATTAAACGTATGACGTTTTCGTGCCATTTCCTACCAGTTTGTTTATTGTTGGTTGTAGAGTGTCACACTGCACTCTAGGTCCAGGTTCGACTCCTGTCGGGGGCGTTAAAAATCACGACGTCTTTTATATAACCTATGTTAGTTTGATACTGAACACTACACTTCTTGTACAGATATTACAGGGTATCAAGTAGGCGAAAACCGCGTGGCAAGGCAGATGACTCCATAACTTTCAAAGGGAAATTGAACTCTGGTCGGCTGGGTGAAGGTCAAGGCGATATCCTGAGTTCTGTTGGTGTGGAGGTGGTAATGTTGTACAGGCGAAGTGGTTTGTATGTCAGCGCGTTTAAACTTTGATGGACACATTTTGAGTGTTTGGAACTAAAGGTGAGTTTTTATCACTCCTGATGTTTGTATTCCACTCCAACTGGCCGACACGTGTACAGCATATCAAACGCCAAATAGTGATTCGTGTTAACGCTGATGTTACCGTGAAACTGATATATCAACTATAGTAGTCTGTAAACATGTATTTGTACTGACAATTCACCTGTAGCGTTAAACAATTTCGTAAGCTTTCAAGTTGATTTAAATTAAAGTGAATATATTTCATAGCCTTATAAGCAGTACATTTAGCTTCATTTGTACATATATATGGCCAATTACAAT